CCCTTTCACCAAAGAGCAATTAGAACACTTGCACAAATTGCTTCAATCTCCGAAATTGTCCCGGACTCCGTCTTGTTCTTTAGTACAAAAGGAAAACACATTGACCAATGCTTTGTTAGGTATTATTCATAAGTTCACTCATTGTTTGATAATCGACTCTAACACAATTGATCACATATTGATTGTTCTAAAGTATTTTCCTCCTATAAACCTTAAGTAGGCAATAAATTTGTCAAAATTGTCGATGATACCCCCTCAATAATTGTCGATATAGAATCTGTTAAACTCTTCTCGTTGTTAACCCTTCGCGATGCTATTTCTGCTTCTAATCTAAAATGTAATTTATTGTCCATTAGTAAAATCAGTGTTGATCATTAACGTAAAATTAACTTTTATTCTTATTGATTAAGGAATTCACCATAGGTAGGAGGATTGACAATGCCAAAGAAAAAGATGCACTATTATTTTAAGGATGGGCTTGACTCGTACATACAATGTCAAAGTATTGATTTAAATTATATTTTTGTTTCTAAAGGTTAAAACATTATATTATGGCATAATAAATTAGCTCATCCAAGTTTTAAGTATCTAAAATAACTATTTCCTAACTTATTCAGAATAAAAATATTTTTGCTTTAATGTGAAATTTGCTTGATTCGTAACTATCCCTAGATTCCTTATAAGAACCTTGCAAATTCTAGGAAAAAATAAGTTGTGCCTTCCACTAATGATCACACTAGAATAAATTGGGTTTATTTAATGAAAGAAAAAACTAAAGTGAAAATAATTTTAAAAAAAATTACATGATGGTACATAATTTCAAAAAAATCACAAATATCATGAAATTATAATAACCAAGAGTATTTCAAAAATATTTTGGGTCATGTTTTTTTTTTTTAAAATTACTAATTCATTAAAGTGCTTGTGTCAACACTCCACAACAAAAATGTTTCACCGAAAAAAAAAAATACTTATTGGATATTACTCGGGCATTACTATTTACCAATCAGATGCCTAAATATCTTTGGGAGAAAATCATTTTAACGGTTACATTTCTCATGAATAAAACTCCCAATAAGATATTAAACCTCGAAGAACTTTTTAATATTTAAAAAAAAAACCAAAAAAGTCAGTTCTCATCTTCTCTACCTCTGAAGATATTTGGATGAATTCTTTTCGTTCACCATTATAATCAAGGAAAACCTGAACCATGAAACAAAAAATGAGTTTGTTGGTTATGCTCCTAACCAAAAGGGGTATAAAAACATTGATCTAAATTCTGAAAAAAAATTTACCCAGGAAGAATTTTTTTTCCTTAATTAAAATCTTTTTTTCTAACTCATCTCTAAGGGAGGGAACAAAATAAAATTTTTTCTACTGAGTTTCTATTTTTTTTTTCAAATTGAAAAATTCCCACAATAGTATATTATCAACCTTAAATATTCAACATAAAAATTGAAGTTGTTTCATATTAGAAAAGAGTGTGTCGAGGGTTTTAGATATTAAAATTCCTACAATGCCATCTCATGATATTCATAATAGAAGAATAGGAAAAAAAATTAGGACAATTGCACCGTTAGATATTGTCTACTCACGATAGAGGGCAACTCAAAAGAAAGAATCTATGAATCCTTTAAAGTGCCCGAAATCCATAAACTCATGTAATGACCCCACGAATTTTTTACCCCATATTAAGTCCACTTCATCTTTGGTTCAGAGTCTTCTAACCCTGAATTTAAGCCTACTTTGGATCCTGAGTCTAACGAGTCAAGCTTTCCCATTAGAGAGATGTCTTGCACTCAACATCTATTCTTCTATTATGTGTCACATGAAAAATCTCTCACCCATTTTCTGTGCCTTTATCTCAAAATTATCGCATATAAAGATACCCAAAATTGTGTAGGATGTTCTGACACTTCCTAAGTGAAAGGAGATTGTTTTTCAGGAGATGAAACTCTTGAAAACAAATGTCATGTGAGAATTGGTTGATCTACCGAGAGGAAAAACAAGTGAAAAAAGGACTTTATAATCGTGCAATTTTGATGGCTCTCAACAACAATACAAGACTAGTCTGGTTGTCAAGGGATTTACTCAGATCTATGACATTGATTATTTAGAAACATTAGCTCCAATCGCAAAAAAAAAAAGAAACTTTGTAAGATTTCTTCTTACTTGCAATAAATATTGGTTACCCCCTACAATAGTTGGATATAAAGAATGTATTTCTTAAAGGGGACTTAAAAGAAGTATACATGAAAGCGCTTCCGAGATTTAATAAGAAATTTGGCACAAAGTTGTTAAAGGATTGAAGCAATCACCAGGAGCGTGGTTTGAAAAATTTACATTATTTGTTAAAGGCCAGAGGTATACTCGAGAGCAGAGAGATCATACAACATTCTTCAGACACTTAAACTATGAAAGACGGTCATACTAATTATGTGAATGATTCTCACTGGAAATAATGCATATGAGTTAAACCATTTGAATACTTTTCTATCAACTATTTTTGAAAACAAGGACATGAGATCTCTGAGGTATTTTTTTCGGTACTGAGGCTGTTCAATCAAAGAAAAAAATTATTATCTCCCAACAGAAGTATATTCTTGATATTCTCAAAGAAACCAAGATGAGCAGGTCTAAATTTGTAGACACTCCAATTGATTCTGATTAAAAACTAAGAAATGAGAAGGATATCCAATGATTGCATTTAGGCATAAAAAATTAATGGGAAATTTGATATGCTTATCACACACAAAGCAAAATATTACCATTATTGTGAGTTTGGTAAGTCTATTTATACACACCCTATCAGAAACATCTTGAAGAGATCAACATAACCACCTTAGATATCTAAAAGATACATAGAGAAAAAAAACTTACTCTTTCAAAGGACCACACAAAAGACTATAAAGACGCACACTGATGTAGATTGAGCAAGCTTGGTTATTATCAGGAGATTAACTTTCAGATATTCGGATTGAGCAAGCTTAATTATTATCCGAAGATTAACTTCTGGATATTGCATAAATATGTGAGAAATTTTGGTTACGCAGCGAAGTAAGAAACAGAATGTGGTTGCAAGTAATATTGAGACAAAATATAGGGCCATGGATAATGTTGTATGTGAAATTTTATGGTTGAAAAAAATGCTTGAAGATCTACAAACCTGATAAGCATGCCAATTAATTTTTAATGGGACAGTATAACAGTCAAATCCAATATAGAAAATCTAGTATAGCATGATCGCACAAAGCATCTAGAAAGCATGTGGCGATTGACATGCATTTCATAAAAGAGAAGATTGATCACGAACTTATTTGCATGTCATTTTTCCATATTGTTCAACAAATTGCAGATATCTTCACCAAATGAGTGTTCAAGCCTACTTTTCAGCTCCTTATAAGCAAGTTGGGAATGACAGATAAATATGCTCCAACTTAAGGGGGGTGTTGGACTTTTAGAAAGAGTTTATTTTTAGTATATTCTATTATTAATTTTTTATATTTATACAAGTTAGAATTAGTATGTCATAATTCATGTTTCCTTCTTTTATCATGGAGAGTTATGACTGATTTTGTTGGTTTCCTAATGTGAGTGTCATCACCCCCTATTTATTTGATAATCATTTTCTATGAAATTGAAGAGTAATAATTATTTTTCATTCCCAAAACCTAAAGTAACTATATGCAAAATAAGTATTCTTCATTTAATCAAATGATGCTAACTACACAATTAGGCACAATTTCATTATTATAAAACAATAATTAAAGTTAAAGAAAAAAATATTTTTAGTGTTTTGCTAGATCAACTTTAGAAATAAGAATATAAAGTTTATAAAACTAGAAACAACACAAATAAAAGACTAATAGAAAATCTAATAAATGTAACTTACTGCAATTGAAGATTTCCCACTAAAAGCACTCCTTTGCTACAATGGAATCTTTTTTTCCTTTTATGTTCTTCAAAGGTAATGAACCAACCCATTTGAAGAAGTCCTCTTACAGCTTATTTGGTGTGGTGGCGTTTTGAAAACACACCTGGCCTGTTTGGATAAATTGCGTTTTGGCAGCTTATGCATTTTCAAAACGCTGAAAACAGTGTTTTCACACCGGGGGCAGCTTTTTGGATTCGGTGTGGTTTTTCCATGAAATAAGAATTTGTAATAGTCATCGCACTTAGCTTATCAACAAATTATTTTTAATCAGCTTATCAGCAGATTATTCAATAAGCTGCAGCTGCCCCAAACAAACTCTTAGAATGAGAAGCAGAAATAAAAAAATAAAAAAATGGCAATTTACCTCACTAATAATTGCTCCCAACTACAAGAGACTTTTTATTTATAGGAATTAGAGAGAGAGAGAGAGAGGGAAAAAACAACAACAAAAAATACTCAAATCTACCATAATATTTATACTTCCACTAAATCTATATCGCCAAAACTATACTTACCATTAAATTCAAAAGTCATGTTATATTTTAGGCATATGATCCATTTTTTTGTCATTAGCTCTGTTGCGCTCTAATGCAATTCGATTTGGTGGTTGGTATGAAAATAATTGCAAATAAAATCATAAAAAAAACCAAACAAGTTGTATACGTAAGAGCTAGAATAACAAAAGAGTATAGATAAGAAAAAAAGACAACTACTAAGGGCAACAAGAGGGGGGGCTACTCTGGAAATAATGTCCCCTACAATTGTTACCTTTAATGAAATCAAGGGAAGAAAGTCTAATCAATCGTACAATAAACTCACAAGGTCAGAAAACCATAGGATAAAACACTCATGCAAATTTACAAATTTTATATTTTTCTCTAGTCAATTAATTTATAAGAAAATTAAGTTCACTATGTGCATATCAACGTTGTTAAATATCTACGTGCATAAACAAAAATTAAAAGAGAGAAATCTATCCAATTAAAATTCTTTCACTGCTTGACCTATAAATTTTTAATATAATTCTAGATAGAATATGCAACAAGAACACGAGAAATTACAATACCGCATCAGACATGTCACAATGAAGTTTAGTAACAGAATCCCCTCTGCACAATTCCTCCTCAAATCCATAAGCGATATACGTCTTTGGTCCAAGGTCTGGCCTCAAAACACCTTCAGGCAACATCGCTGCAACATTAAGGAGACCATCTCGAAGATTTGCATATTCTCCAAAAGGTAAAGCAGAAAGAAATTCAACACCATGACGTGGTAAGCGTTCCTCAAAGGAACTAGATGGAGGCCAATCTTTAAGCTTAAGCATTTCAGGCCAACCATCCTTATGAAATCGACCATCCAAATACCCTCTAAAAAACTGACTAATATTAATTTCAACCTGCAAAATTGCAAGTAATCAGAAAACACACTTCAAGAAAACTATATAAACAGAAAATATCCATTGACGCACACCACAAAATAACAAATAACAATAAAAGGACATTTTATAATACACCATCATATGACTAAAACATGTGTAGCGTACCTATATTGAGGTGCTCATGCATCTGTATGCAAGCATTGTTGTGCTCAAAACTATTTTGAAAGATACAAATATTTTGATAGAAAGCTCTAATATTTTTAATTAAACTATAATAAAATGGACAAAAAAGGAAATCAACCGAACCAAAATAACCTCTATGTAAATGTGCATGGATGTTAAACTGCCAAAGAAAAGTTACAAGGTAACATGTGAGAAAAGTAGGAATAATGACATCGATAAATCATACTATCATCAAAACAAAACAATTATATATATATATATATATATATATATATATATTGATTTTTATTTATACACAATATATATACTCAATGTGTGTGTGTATGTGTGTGTGTGGAAAAGGAATTAAAAGTTTAACAGCTTAATGCATAAGTTTCAAAAGCAGGCGTATAAAGTATGATTTAAGGCGTATAAAGTATGATTTACAAGATATTGCCCAACTTGTCAAAATGAAGACATGACAGACCTCACAAAAGTCCAAACAATCAATTGCTTTTACTTCAAAATTCTCAGAACTAGCCTTCTTCCTGTTCTTCTCCCGCAAAGCACGCCACATAACCATCGGCTCCCAGCTCAATCCAGAAGTTAAATCAAGAACATTGCGAACAACAACAGGCTCCCCTTTAGCCCAATGCCCTTGGAAGTGTTCCAATTCATCATTCTTAATATCGTTTGCACTTGGACAGTACAAATAATTATCAGAACCTTCCCTAGAAGCAGCTTTTCTCAATGTATTCATACCAAAATCAACATTTCTTAATGCATAAGAACAAGAGCAATTAATAAGTTCATGGGGACGGCTTCCATGTCCGAAGGTTTGGTATTCAAGAATTCTGTAAGCCTTCAATTCCAACTCAGACAATAAATCTTCTGGAAACATGCACTTGAGATGCAATACAGCACCACCACAACCACCCATTTCCTTTGGGGCACAGGGAATACTACCATCCGCATTCAATTTCCATTGCAACGGTTCACTTAGATGATTTTCAACAAAGTCAGCACTTAAACTACCTTGCTTCACTTGTTGGCCATATAGGTAGCCCCCACGAAGATCTCGGCAACAAGATAAGCATAGGTCATAAAAGCAACTAGGGCAGCCTCTATGCAAATCTGCTAATGACGTGCTGCAGTAATTGCTGGCAAAACAAGATTGAACAATAAGTGAAGGTATTACATTAAAAGTTGTAAATAGACCTACTATTATTGAAGGTTGTACTACCAGTATACACGCTCATCTTTCTCATAAGGAACTCTTTCTATCTTAATCTCACTCGGTGCAAGGCCTATTTAGAAGAGCATACCAACAATAAAAATTAGGCGAAGGAATGATGGCAGGCAATGTCCATCATAATGCTCAAGCTGTAAGATCCTTACCTTTTGACAATGCTTCAATTTCTTTTTCAGCATCTTGCTCCTTGCGGAATTCTCTGAACCATGGAAGTAGCATATGCAGTGCATACAAAAAGTGCTGTATTTTTTCATCCTCCTGAATGGTCCTTTTTGCGGGCTAAGAGTAAAAAATTAGTTGGTTATATCTGAAATTGAGGAGTATCAAAAAAGTAAAAAAGGAATGTGAACAAGTGAGGGCTAAAACTTGGAACAGACCGCAGTGATTCCTATCATGCGTAAGCACAACTTGCAATTGCAGTTGAACCGACAAAAAGGGCATTTTATAGCAAAGTCCTTCGCTTTTAAGTGGGGATACCTATGTAGCATCATCAACAAAGAAATCAAAAATTTTAAGAGACAATGGATGTCACTGATGTCACACCCCCAGACCAGTAGGCGGTACACCCTGACAACATAAGGCATGATGAAATGAATTAAACGTATTTTGTATTCTCATAAAGAAAATTATATGCAAATAACAATAAGTACAAATAAAAAAAAATATAAATTTTATTCATAATTAATAGTATATTGATACAGCGGAAAGAAAAGATGAAAATTGACTTGATCAAAACTGAAATGAAAATATGAATGACAACCAAAACTTAGAATAAAAAATACAATTACTAGAGCAAATACCAAAAAATATCAATAACAGTAAATCAAAATCGAAACATCTGCTCCGGCGGAGACGATCCTACTAGTGGCCGAATAGAAGTTATCATGCAAAAATATCAAAAAATTTGACGAGCAAACATAGTAGAAAACTACTTATCAAAACATAAACAGCAAGAAAAATGAAGTATACAATATGAACAACAAAAAGAAACGATTACTATAAGCATATATAATATCATAATGCAATAAGAGTGATAAACAAAATGTGTTCTATTATTTTAAGAAAATATGCAATCATATCAAATTTCACCCAGGCTATTATTAGTCAGTTTTTTTATACTTATATGGTTAGTTTTAACAGACACCCTAAAACTCAGAAGGTCAATACCAACCCAAAAAAAACCGGTGATTTCTTGTATAATCGTCACTCTATGAGTTTGTCAGTTCAGTTGGCCAATATCCCAATAAGTTCCATCGACCTACATATCATCATACACAAACATGCCAAATTTTTCATAGATATAATATGTAAAATATATGATATTTCACACAAACTTATAATATCAATTTATATGTCATTTCGTAAACTAAAGTGCAAGAAAAAAAATATATTATAATTGCAAGATTTATTCACATATGTAGGGGTTTTACAATAAAAAAAAACAATTAGTGATTTCAGCATAGCAATATTTTAAGTGTATAACTATTTCAAAATAATAACTACTTAAAGCATAGCAGCATAGCAATAAAAATTAGCATTTTATAACCTAAAAAAATAGCCAATGATTATATTGATTTAACATGCATTAATATTATTATTGAAAGAATTAGTAGAAGCAATAAGGAGTCAAGAGCTTACCCTTTGCAACGGTTATGGTTAACTAAGGAGGCTCAACAATAAAGACAGGCTCTAAAGTTGATTATTGTCTTTGGGCAAAAAAGATGAAAGAGGATGAATGATAAGGAAAAAGTTTGTGTGCGATAGACGTACACAACGCTGCGTGCGATATTGGGGTATACCGATGGTACAAGGGGGTTACATCCACGGTATAAGCCTTTGTAATCTCCCTATAACCTCCCTGTAACTTACGTGTAACCTCTTAATATATGATAACAAAAGCGCAAAACTTATTTTAGGGTATAAATAGGTTACAGAAAGTTACAGGGAGGTTACAATGGGTTATACGTGGATGTAACCCCTTTGTACCCTCGGTATAACCCCAATATCGCACGCAGCGCTGCATACGTCTATCACACGCAATTTTTTTTCCGAATGATAGGGGCTCTGGTGGTCTCTACATGTTACAGTCCCATCATCAGCTTCTCAGCTGACAAAGGTTTCAAAAAAGGCTATAGGAAGAACGAAGCGGTGTGAAACGAGGTTGTGATGTCGTAAGCCGCCTTACATAGAGCAATGAGGTGGCAACCTGAGGCGGTAATGAAGAGTGAGAAATCAAGTACAGAAAAGGAAAAAATCTAGTGTTGTTCGGGAAGATCAATTCAAGAAGGCGGCAGAGAACGAAGAAAGAAAAGGAAATAATTGTTAATTGGGAAGTTAGGAAAGGATGAAAGAAAATTTGGTGCTTATAACCTAAATCATTGAATTCAAATATAACTAAAATGGCTAAACTTAACACCAAAAGTCTAAGATTTGACATTCAGGAAGTGAACAAATAAATCAACTGTGAGTCTAAAAAGGATACGGATTGCATTGGCATAGAACAAGCAAATATAACCACCGAGAATGAAAATCGCGGAACTTATATTGAGGAAGACAGAAATATGAGATTTAAAAAAGGACAACGAGGAATCCACCCACCATCTCTTCCTGCAAGGGTAACAATACCGCTTCTTTTTGCAAGCTTGACATCGCACTATACCTCCCTTGTCATTCCTTTGGCATTGATGGCACATCAGTGCATCATCACCTTTCAGCATCTTCCTCTTACGAACCTAATCATCATTAAGAATAAAAATTTCAAGGAAACACAAAAAACTGCGCAACCAAATAAATGATAAAAGGGAAAAATACAGACGAAAAACAATATGAGTTGAACTGGGGAACTAACCACCCCTTTCTCCTCATTTGTTAAGGAATGTCCCATGGCATCTTGAACCGTCAGCATGTTCTTCTTCTGGGCCTAATAACCATTAGACACAAGCAAATGAAACATCATGATAAAATCCACAGAAGAAACCCAATATAAGTTGAACGGATGAAAAACTAACGGCCACATTCTTCTCATTCTTTAAATAATTTCTCTTCCGTTTCTTAACCCCCTCGGCAATCCCCTCTCTCTCTTCTTCAACACCACCCTGCAACCAAAACAGGCTACTAAATAAGGAATCCTAAATCTAATACAAACAGATATGACCCAGCATCTCCTGAATAAGAACTAAGAAAGAATAATCACATTTATGCCCTTCAATCCTAATGATCCATTTTCCTCGCTCCTTACGGCCTCTCTCTCATTCCTCCGTTTCCTCCTCCGATTTGTCTTCCCCGATGGCTTCAGCACAGGTTTTCTCACCTCCTTTAAAATCGAATATAAAACATCAGATAGCAGCAAAATCGAAATCAACAAACGCATCAAAGCAACAACAACAACCTTAGCCATCTCTCCGCTTGATATTTCCAAGTAAGTTGGCTTCGCAGATGCCCTCTTCCGCAGATTGAATACCTTCATGGCCTCGCCATCATCGAAAGTCATCGCAGCCGCTCCCCGCAGCCTAAAGTCAGGATCCTTGTTCTTAATCTTGTTCTTCTTAGGTCGACCAGGACGCTTACCGGGCATAGATGCCTTAGCCAGAACGCCATCCTCATCCATTTCCATAGGACGAAACCCTAACCCTTTCCGAGCTCCTTCAATGGCTTCTCCCTCTTATTTTGAAATGGCTACTGGATTTGCCCGCCAAATGCCATGGGAACTGGGAACGGCTGGACCGCGAGCTCTTTATACACGATGGGTGCGAGCTTCCGTATTATACGCTTTGCTGTCCTTCGTTGCTGAACCACGCTCCATATCCCCATCGATTGAAAAAAGTGGCGGTTACATATTTCGTTACATACAAACCACCCAAAACCTTGCTATTTACGAATGAGCCCCCATCTCTCGTTCATTTTTCACATAAATTTTATATTTACGTAATACTGAATTCTTTATTGCTATATCGATAATATCAATATTATTAACTTATAAATAAATAAATAAATACGCACTTATATATAGGGCTATAAACAAGCAGAGCTTGAGCGAGTTCAGGCTTGGCCCGTGTTCGGCTCGTTTGAACTTGTTCGTGTTTGAAATCAGTTCGTATTCGAAACCAACTCGTGAACAGTGTGTTGTGTTCGGCTCGTTAAAATTAAACTGAAAAAATAGATGTAAAGTATTAGATTCGAATATGAACCAAATATATGCAAAAGAATACACATAATCACATTACCACACTAACAATTACATTTTAAACTTAGAAATAAATATATATAATATATTATTATATAAATAATATATATAATATATTATTATATAAATAATTAGATAATTTTCTTTATTTCGAGCTAAAACGAGTCTAAGGCAATTACAAATAGTTGTTCGTGTTCGGCTCGTTTATAATTCGAGCGTTAAAAACTTGTTCGTGTTCAACTCGTTTATTTAACGAACGAGCCGAATACGAGCTGTTCGCAAACAACTAGCTTTCTTGACAGCGCTACTTATATAACATGAATGTGTGAATCCAAAATATTAAATCTTAGAAAAATTTATATAACATGAAAAATGGATGATGACAGTGATTCTATATTTATAAAAAATTTAGAAAAAAAAAATTAAATAAATAAAATTTCATCCAAATATATATTGGATGATTATTCAATTGTGACGACCTCAACACGAGAAAATCTTACTCAGACAAATGTGGTGCCAATGTTAGAAGAACTATTTCAAGAGAAGAAGACGCCCCCATGTCACATGTCACCCTAACAATAAGGGCTCGACTCCGCCATGCCACAATAGGCTTATGCTTTCTTTATTTAGATCTTTGAAGCTTGAGCTCCACTTCAAATTTTTATATTCTATGACTATTTCCTATATTTGTTCAAAAATTATTTTTTTATTAAAAAAATAATTTAATAATCAAGCTCTATTTAGTCAGTGTTACAGATCATGTGATTATCTTCCTAATCAAGCTCTAAGCCCTGCTTTTGCTTAAAATTTGCTTCATGTTAAGAAGTTGAGGATTTTATTTAAGTTTTAATAGTATTTATTTGAGTTATTTTTGGAGTTTTAGTATAAATAAATGTAGAATATTTGGTCTAAGGGATAAATTTATCATTCATAAAAAGACACAACAAAGTGTGCACCTTGCCTAAAGAGATTGGGGATATTTTATAATGCCTCAACAATGAGAAATTATTCCATACGGACAGCGCATGCAAAGATGCATTCCCCGTCCGATCTCGGTCATCGATCACAGTTTTTTTTTTAAAAAAGAAAAATGAGACCCACAAAAATACAGTTTTACTGTGATCGACGGTCGAGATCAGACAGCTGAATTTTCTAAATTCTTGATTTTTTTTAATTTTTTTTTAGTTGAGTTAATTATTTTAAATCAAATTTTATTATAACTTTAAATGACTTTAAAATGTTATAAAATTAATCTCTAAGATCAAGATGGCCTCAAGAATAACTAATAAAAATTTAAAAGAATTAGAATTATTAAATTATTATAATATTATTTGTTGCTTTTTTATAATAAATTTTAAAATAGTAGTATCCTATAATTTAATTATATATTTAACATTAATATATTATAATTTAATATCAATATGCATATTAATCTAATTAAGGGTCTATTTGGGTAGCTGAAGCTTATCCAACTTATCCTGATAATCTGGTGATAAACAACGGATCTGGATAAGTTGTCTGTCTGTTTGGTTTGTGCGTTTAGAGAACAGTTGATTCAGAAAAAATGATCAATCTGCCCCTATTCTGGATAAGTTGCAGTTGTTTGATTTGTGAATTTTGTAAACATCTTATTTGCAGATTTTCTTTGTTAAATGAAAAATCTGTGATGCAGAGGTTGTACTTTTCTCAACAAAACAACAATGTATACGTGTTAGATATTGTTAAACAGCTTAACTCTTTTCAAAGTCATTCGACAGATCCTTCAAAACTATCCCACCCCAACCTTCAGCATTTCTACGGACAAACAACCCAGAGGAAAGTGAACTCCCCAGAATTTACAGATTGAAGAACCAACAGCTAAAAGACAAAAAATTTCTAACCAAAACCGCATTAATGCTCGCATAAAGATCCTCTAATCCCACCCATAAGGTACTAATGACGAATGTTAAGGAAAAAAAAAAGCAAGATGGCGAAATCAATCAGCCAAAACCTAAACCAAAACTCGTCGCCTCGATTTGCTTCGGAAATGAACACCGATTTCTCTAGAAGCCTGAGTGATGGAGAAGGCTTAGCAATCGAAGGCTCCAAAGTCCCAAAGAATCTATCTAAAGAGTGAGAATTAAGTTGAGACAAGAACATTAAGATCACAAGAACAAGTACGATTAACATGGAAATCGAGGTAACAATAAATAAGCAATACAGTTGCAAAAACAATTCAGGGAAAAAAAATCTAATTTTTCATTAGAGATGAGAATGAAGCATCCACACTTAACAAAAATTCTCTTTTGAGGAGCAAGATCACAAATTTTCAGTAAAAAGTGCCTGAAAACTTTGCTTGGATCTGCATAAAAACCTTTGAACTTAGCAAAAAAAAAAAAAAAAAACAAAACAAAACAAAAATTTGGTGGATTAGCAAACATACTTTCTAATCAAAGATGATAATTTTAACTCATCAATCAGTACACATACCTCAGAGAATAAAAAAGCATCTTCACCCTGTCACCATACTCCTATCTCCCACCCTGTTAATCACCGAAACGCCGCCATCCTTCCCCACTATCATGACAAAGCTCGTCATAGCCAAGAACATCCAATGCTCTACAACACCCACAGTCTTCAAAATCGCATCACTAATCTCTTCCAAATCACTGCTAATCTCGTTCTCAAAGAACAGATCAATAACATAATTCAATTTATCAGTCACAGAAGGAGTCGATTCAACTCCCGAAGTGTCTTCAGCCTCAAATCGAACCCCAGGATGCCATCAAATAGTCGCCGAAGCTTCCCCATCGTGAACTTCCAGCAGAAAGGGATGATCTCGACAGGCACAGCCACACCGCTGCGAAAAGTTCACCATCTTCGACTCGTCGACGATGACAACGAACCTCTTACTAGCCACTTCATTCATCTTCTCCCGAAGAGGAGTCTAGGGGTGTAAACGAGCAGAACACGAGCGTTGTATATTTCGAGCTCAAAAAGTGTGTTCGTTTAACGAGCCGAACACGAGCTGTTCACAAACAAAGAGTCCTTTTAACAACCCTAATGATGTAGCCATAAAACAATAAGAGTTTGAGCAAGAATAGCAAGAATTAAAAATTATTAAAGAATTAAAAATTATTATTTATATTACATCATTTGAATCTAATTTAATAATTTTTATTCTATTTTCTTAATCAATATTTTAATTGATTATAAATCTTTGTAGTCTTGTAGTCAATTAGGTTTTTTTAAAATACTACTTATATGTATACATATATATAAACTTGATGAGTAGTATTTCGAGCCAAAACGAGCAGAACACAAACGAACAAATATTTGTTAAAGCCGAACACAAGCTTCTTAACGAGCCGAACACGAGTTGTTCACAAACAACGAACCGTTTTGACAGCCCTAATTGTGGTTGGAAATTTAGAGGAGATGAATCGAGAGGGTAATATCATGATTGGGAGACAGAAACACGGGACGCGGTTGAACCGTAAACAGTCATTATTACGAAGTAATGTTTTTTTTTTTTTTTTCAAAAAATCAAATACAACTTTCTAGCAGCCACCTCACTTAGGATTTGTTTAGGGTAACCGCAACTTACTAAAAAATGATTGTGATGCTGCTAAAAAATAATATCATGTTGTGCCTTTCACAAATTATTATTTTATATTATTTTTCTTAAAAAAGTCAAACCGCATCTAGAAAGTTGTCACCGCACCTAGTCATGACCAGTGGTAAAATGCAGATTTCAACGGTAGTTTTTTGAAAAAACTGTCAAAATACAGTTTACCCAAATAGACAAAATTGTAGTGTGGTATCACCGTACCGCACTGCTGCCCCAAACGGACTCTTACTCAGGAGATATTACAAAATACATTTTTTTTCAATCAGAGCTTCTTGAAATTCAAATAAAGTATAATTTTACCAAACAACCGGCAGTGTGCGCCCTTAATTTCTGTGCATTTAATTAATCACACTTTAAAAGATGTATAAAAAAGGTGTATAAAAAGCGGCATCAAATCCCCTAAATTCAGCGGATGAAAGGTATATTTGACGAAAAATTTTTAGGTGCGCAGTTCGCACATACGGACTACGGCTAAGATTGACGAAGGAAAAAATAATAATAATAATAAACGGACATCCGTTGTATCACAGCGGAGGTCTGTATGTGCAGACTCCGCACATAAAAACTTCTCCTATTTGAGACCACTGAAAACTTCTCAAAAGTAATTACAAAGCTATTGCAAGAAAGATAATTTTTGGAAAAGTTTCTTTTTATAAATATTAAAAAATAGGGTAATAATTTCTTGCATCTCTTACATCACTAAATATAATTGTAAAAAATAAATTCTTATTCAAAGGTGCCCTAAAATCTCTAAAACAAATCAAAATAAGACGGCAAATATCACTATTAATTTTCATAAAAAAAATTACATACGGCACAATTCTTATATATTTATATACTTAATTCCAAAAAATTCATATTTATATCCATAACCTTTCAATGTAATAAATCAAAATGTATAGTTTACTTCAAAAAAGCAAGTAATATTGATATTAAGAATTTGAAATACATGGTATGTATGTTAAAGCTCTGTTTATTTTCTAACAGAGGAAGGGCCCATCTAGTTTACCCAAATAGACAAAAATTCCAGCTCCCGCTCCCACTCCCGTCGTGACCCCAACTCCCGCTCCCGCTCCCGTCGCAACCCCAGCTTGCTCCCACCTCCTGTTCGTGAAACGCCGCCTTTGCTTGTTCCTGTTTCGCAAAGCAAAGGTTCGGTTCGCCTCCCGCCTCTTCAATCGCAAACTGATGGGCTCTCTCTTTCGCGATAAAAGGCATCGCACGACTTTCCTTCAGATTTGGCACGGCCATTTTTTGTGTTCTTCGGACTTCCTTGGGATAGAGGAAGAGAAGTGCAATCAGTAGTTTCTTACGGCAGAAAGAAGAAGAAAGAAGAAAAAGATTGTTTTCCCTTGAATTTTTCTTAGTGGCTTGTGGCAGAAGAGAAATTAAATTTATTTCTCTTATAAGTTTATCTTCTTTGGTGTATCTCGGTGTAGAAAGAGAAGAAGAGAGAGCAAGAAAGCGAAAAATCTCTCTTATAAGTCGAGACGATTGACTGGTGAAAATTCCTCAAGTAGAAAAATCCTCTGCAATTCTGTGGACGTAGGCAATTTGTCGAACCACGTAAATCCGTGTGTTCCGCAGTGTTACTATTTTATGATGTGAATTTTCTCGTTCTATGTTTCACTTCGTCGTCGATCGTTATATTTTATTATATTTACCACAACAACTGGTACCAAAGCTCGTGTTTTCGGACCTAAGGAAAGACGATGGTTGCAGATGAAGTGAAATTTTCAGGGATCGATAAGTTTGATGACACGGATTTTGGTTATTGAAAGATGCAGATAGAGGACTACCTCTATGGGAAAAAACTTCATCTTTCGTTATTAGGGAAAATACCTGAAAGGATGGATCAGGTTGAAGGAAATTTGTTGGATCGACAAGTTCTGGGGTTATTCAATTGGCCCTATCGAAATCCGTTGCATACAACGTCGTCAAAGAAAGGACGACTCAAATTTCATGGCAGTCTTATCAGGTATGTATGAAAAGCCATCGGCAAATAACAATATGTACTTTATGAAGAAGTTATTCAATTTGAAGATGGCGGAATGTGTTTCTGTTGCTCAGAACTTGAATGATTTCAATACAATCACAAATCAATTGTCGTATGTTGAAATTTATTTTGATGATAAGATACGTGCGTTGATAAGGGACAAATGCTGGAACAAAACGGAGTGGAGCGGAAGAATCTGTCCAATCGGAGAAGTTTCGTTATGTGGGTTGGAGGTGCGGGGGCAACGTCCTGCGGTACGGTATATGAGTAATTTTGTAATTACATATTGTACTCAGGGTATACTCTAGGATTATAAATAGGCTTGTTTGTAACCCAAGGTCTAAGACTCCATTCTGTATCATGTAACATTTTTCTGGAGTTGAAAAAAAGTCGTTGCTCTGCTTCCGAGAAAGTATGCATCTTTGTCGAACCTCGTTAAATCATTGTGTTCTTCTGGATTTGTGTTGATTCATTTTTTCTTCGCCCTAATTTCTCAACAGTTGGCATGCATAGGCCACAGAACATAATGCATAACTAGAGGGTTTCACAGATCCCCAAGAACATGAATTAGAATTCAGCTTCAACACAACTCCGGGCAACCACACAATTTTTTGTTTTTCCACGTGACAAGATTTCTCCGTACAAATGAGTAATACCCCGAGGTGAAACGTCGATCATGAACCGACCAGACCTAATCAACATCTGTATAAACAACAATAGACCAAGAGATGTTACGTGAAAAAAAACCTGAGCCCGGTGTACCTTTTAAATAGTAGAGAATCCAGTGGACAACTTGGAGATGAAGCTCGTATGGGTCATGCGTGAATTGACTCACTATACCAACTACGTGACATATGTCAGGGCGAGTATGAGCGAGGTAGATGAGTTCCCCCATAAAAGCTGGTAGTGAGTCTTGTAGACCGACACAACATTGAGAATATCATATAATTTTTCATTGAGATCCATAGGGACAACCACAGGTTAGCATAGAAGAAGATTATTTTATCTTGAGAGATCAACCACATAGTTGTGTTGAGATGGGAAACATGTTGAGATGGGCAAATGTCCTAAGATGATCGAGCTATTTCAATGTCTAAGAAGTACCGGAGATATCTCAAATCCTTCATTTCAAAGGACTTAGCAAGAATGTCTTTTAAGGATTCCTCCGGTTTGCAAGAGACTGAAAATTAGAGTTAATCCTCCAGTGGAATCAACAACACCTTCAAGAAGTGGTTCAGAGTTGGCAGAATCCGCCATAATTCCGACTGAGCCAAAGGAGATGTTGAGATTTTGACCCATCGATGAATTCTGATAAGGTTACGACAAAAGAAAACTGCAGGTAGAAGAAAGGTTGGTTGTTTGTTGGAGCCTGCGGCTGCTAGGATCTGTGGCAGGAATAGTTCACTACAGGCAGAGATTCACATAAAAATGAGTTCTGAAAAACTGCATGAGGAAAACGACAGGAAGAAAATTGCAGGTCTGTGGAAAACTACATATATGGAAAAACAGCGGGAAGATTTCTGCGGATCTGAAAACTATAGATCTATGTAAATCGACAAGAAGAACTCTGCAGGAAGAAAACCAGCATGTGGTCGGCGGCTAGGATGGAACATCCAATTGGTGATCAAGGCAGCATATTTCTCATTGATACATCTTAGACTTAAACCTAATTACAATCGACTTAATAAGGAAAGAAATAAAAACACAACCAAAGAAATAAAACAAAATAAAGATAAAAAGAAAACCAAATAATGCAGAATAAGGGGAATTTATAGATAATAATGGCTATGGAAACCTAATAAATCTAATACTATGACATCTAGTCCAAAGCAAGCCATAATATACACTCTTTGTCCATTTGACCCTTTCCTGTAAAAAGTTAAACCAAAATGTGACATTTTTCACAACAAAATATCGGTTGTATACTAAAGTCCCAAAACCTAGCAATTAAGCCAATGATCTACTATCCGTGCCCATTATAATGAGGCATTCTATTCTTTCAAGTCCCACAACTTCATGTGCAGGGAAGACAAGCTTCTATCTCCCTCACAATTTGCTTCCGCAGATTGTCTAAGGGCAGCATCGAAGTAATTAGAAAACAATGATGATGGGTCAGGTCAAAGTGCTAAAACGGAAAGAGCTCCAATGCCCTTACTTGAATACAATCTAAGGAGGTCAATGTCAATTCAAAAGAAGCAATGATAAGAGTCAGATGAATGCCCAAGGGATTTTGTTGATAAAGCCTCTTCTTAGACCATGCATCTTCCTCCTATTTTGGGCATAGAGATCAAATTGGACTTCTAAACAATGAAATGAACCTTTTCAAGTACAATTAGCGTGGCATGCATGTAAAAATCAGTTTAAATGTTAGATGTGTAAATACATAAGAATTGAGTGATATGTGTGTAAATCTTTATTTTAAAAAAAAAATATGCTAGTAAGTAAAACAACTGTCCAACTTCTACACGCAGGCCCAATGCAAAATCTAATTCACCCTCAAAGTCGTGCCTGCACAGTACAGCTAACCTAGCCATCGCCTAAAATGCGTATAAATTCGATCGATTTAAAGCAGAAATTGGAACCATCAATGGCGTAAGAAAGGCATAAACTGAAGACTTCGAGGCTCATCACATAAAATGAGCAGTAAAAAAAAATAATCTCCTATTACTTAGCACAACAAACAGTGCTGCAAAATAACAACACCTGCAAAACTACAAGGGGCAGTTACATCCTACACCATTCTCATGCATTTACATATCTAACATCTAAACATTAAGATTTACATTCATACATTTAAATCTTTAACACACATAAAAAATACCAGTTTGGGATTTTAGAAGTAAAATGCACCTTCTTATGCATGGGCAAGATGTTATAAATGTAAATATCGAACTTAAGGTGTTAAATATATAAATTCATAAGAATTGTGTGCACATATGTAAATTCTCCAAGAAAAAAAAAAGAATACACAAATACGGGGCATTTGCATAACAGACATTTCCTATTTGATTACATACCATAACACCCAAATTTTAATTTTTACATCTATAACACTCAAATCTTTATTATCACATCAAAAATATTACTATTAGTCTATTACTAACTTTTATGCATAGTTAAGTATTATAAATGCAAAAATCAAAATTTAGGTGTCCAATATGTATATACTAGGAATTGTGTGGTATGTATGTACATCTCCCAAATATTTAAGCATGCACAACAACTTAGTGCAAACATAAAAAACAAAACAATAATTATTGTTAAAACTTAACAGCATTGGTTCTAATCATTCAGAATCAAGTGAAGCCTGACAAACAGGTAAATTATATGTATCTAGTTGCCAGTATTTGTGCTTCAAACCCTTCCAAATGTCCTCCGAAATGCATTCTTTGACAGGCAAGGGAATAAACTGAGTACTGTAACCAAGATTTTCAAGTTCTAAAGCAACTAACTGACAGTAAACAACATGGAAAAATGCATTGCTGCCACAAAAACCATTAAAGTAGGAATAGATTCCACCTGGCTTAAGCAGCCTGTGAAGATTCTGGTGGAATTCCCTCATGTCGTCATAGTATTCACCGTAAGTGTCGAAGAATATTCCTGTATGATTGAGGATGTTGAAGAGTTTGGCTTTAGGTATAACTTGGAAATATTGTTAGAGAGAATCATAATTTGCTCGATTTAACATTTAATGCGAGTAAATTAGAACATAGTTCTTTCAAGGCCACATTTCCATGCCCTCATACAATGCAAACGTTGCAGTCATAGTTATAATAGTTCTTAGCTATCTTTATGCATGCAGTAGACAAAAAAAAAAAGTGTCTTATTAGTGAGATTAAAATGATTAAAATAAGGCAGAATGATATGCATAACACACAATTACTACGTATTTACATTCTAACATAGGACCAAGCGACGTCAAATCTTGACACATGAAGTCTCGTTTAAATTATGTTGATGATCTCGACACAGTGATGGAATTTATTGTCAAACGAGGTCCCGATAAAACTTTTTGTGGGTGAAATTTGCATGTATAAAAAGTTTATGCATACAAAATTTATGCAAAAACTTTGTAATTCTGAGATTTCCCTTATTGCATTCATTATTATAACCGATAAAAATTGCAATGCAACTTATGCAACTTCATTTGCTGATTAAAGATGATGCCAAATATTTCCTTGGGTGGCACAATGTAGGAGTCATGCGGCTAATTATTGGGGATCATATGACGATTAAATATAGGATCTATAAATTAACAATTGCCTTTATAAAGTGTAACAAAATTATTAAGAAAATCCTAGTGTGCACTCAAATTGAGATAACTCAATTTGCACCTAGAGTATTTACTAGGATATCAACAGTTAACATAAGTGATGGATGATTAGGTGGCCGACTTAATCAATATAATGTGGGTTTAAATTGACCACTGTTGAAGTTCAAATAGATTAACTGATTAAACTTGAGTTAAAAAGATATGAATTTCCTCTTATTTGTTAATGAGGCCAAAGGAATCCTATGAAAAATTTATAGTTGGTCAACTTGAGTTAAAAAGATATGAATTTCCTCTTATTTGTTAATGAGGCCAAAGGAATCCTATGAAAAATTTATAGTTGGTCCCAATTAGCTTAGTTTAAAAGTGAGTTAAGATTCTAGCTAAGCTAGGCCAAGAATTCTACCAAAGGGATGAGTTAAAGATTGAAAGTAAACTAAAAAGAGGACTAATGTATTGACTTGAATCAAATCTAGAATAAGCTAGAGATATAAACAGAAGAGAATAGCCTAATAATAAAAGTCAGTGATTGATTCCTAATGGCAAGAACACAACCATTTCCTAAATACAGGTCCGCTCTTCTGAAGATGACGCCTAAAGAATTGAAAAGTTGTACCACTCTTAAAAGAATGAGTCTAGAAGTTAAGAAGTTCATTTCTCCCTTCATTTTGGCGAAGTTACGGATTCGTAAGTGAAGCGTCCTTTTATTTCTTCTCACATTTATCACATTGTGAGTTCACCGAATAAAAATAACTAATGTTTTTCCCATTTTTGCAGCTGATTTTCCTCAAACTATTGAACCTCTTAGATTCAAAACGATCGCTCTCCTTGAATACCCTATGAATATAGAAACATAACACAGGGAAATGATCCGTCTGATGAATAAGTTGCCAGAACTGTGGAAGATCCCAATCCAACCATGTCAATTTTGCATATCGAAGAAGCAGAAAATACAAAAGAAACTGATGATGCTGAAGAAATTACAAAAATACCAAGGGCAATCAGATTAAAGCCAAGTGAAATTTTTGATAGGATATCCAAGTTCCACCTGTCTCAAAATTTTAGTAACAAAATAAATAAGAAATTGCTTCATATTTGCATCTCTAACGAGTACCAAACTAACTTCTTTTACTACTACAAGATATATGAACAATTCATCGCCCTTCTTAGGACTCTAGATAAGTGAAGCAGAAAATAATAGTTCTTCGGCTGTAAAAAGACTTGTTCACATTCCTCAGACTAAGTAAAGCGTTTGAACTTCTCATCCCCTGGAAAAAGGTTGAGCATCGATCTGTGAATTTAGATATGAGTCAACTCAAACTAATGATTTGCCCGTCAACATTTGCAACTCCTTTATTTGAAGGAATTTCTAAGTTAGTTTTCACTTTTTCTAGATTCATCTAAATAACTTCTGCTATAAATAAATGACCCAAATAATTTCTTGTCCACACGCTAAAAATGCATTTCGACTGATTTAATTTTCTCAAAGTATTAAAGGTTTCCTTCAAATCTTCAATATGTTGCCTTGAGTATCTAGTTTTAATTAAGAGATCATTAATATAAACTTTTAATATTTTTCCTTTTTTGTTTGCAAAGATTACATCAACTTTTGATATGTAGCTCCAGCATTCTTAAGCCCAAAATACATCTCATTATGATAATATACTCCATCTTTAAAAATAAAAGCAGCCTTTTTGCTATCAATTAGGTGCATTTTTATCAGGTGATATCTTCAAAAAACATAAAAAAAAACTCATTATTGAATAACCAATTGAGAGTCCCAAACATCGACCCACAACAAAAGATAACTGTATTTTGGATACGTTGATTTTAAATTGGGAAAATCAATGCACATTCTCCATCTTTTATTAAATTTTGGCACCTGATGAATTCAACATCCAACAGCATATGCACTTTTTCGTGAATTAGTTCAGTTAGTATAATTGTCATAGGTCTCATCTTTTGTTTTCATTAACCGAACTCTGGGATCAATATTAAGTCGTTGAAAAGTGCCATCAATGTCGACTACCAACATTCATCTACAGTCAAGTGAATCCATCTTGGTATTCCTTCAAAATAGTAATCAACTCATCACTTAATATAGCATCAAAATTAAAGCTTAAATGGAAAAATCTATCAGATCTAGTCTCTGATACTGTAACTTCTTCAATAACTTAAGTTGCTTCTACACCGCTTCTTTTCTACATGTTGGGCTGCAAAATATCTTCATGTACATAGCCTACATCTTTCCAATAATATGCTCTTGATTGTACTAGAATCGCCCCACACTGTGATCACTTGAATGCTTCCTAGGAATTTAACTGTCACGAAGTATGTTGACAAAACCATTTTGAAGGTATTTAGAATAGGTTGATAAAAAATACAATTGTAAGTGGTTGAAGAAAGATATACTATTATCAAATTTGTCATCATGATGAATTGTTTATTTTCTTCACCCTTAATGGTAAAGAAATAATCCCACATGTTTCTTTTCGCTCTCTAAAAAATCAAAAGAGCAGTCCTAAAGTCCGAACAAGGTGCGAGTTACTCAAATTCATCTTTTCAAATATAATTTAAACAAAATATTTGTTAAATTTCATGTCGATCAAGATGCTCCCTATCTAATAGTTCACGATCAAAGTCATAACTATGATGGCATCATTAAATGGATTCGCTCACACTGGCAAATATTCACCGGGATTGTTGGAAGTATCGATGCAATGTGAATAACCAGAGTTGCAATTGGTTCATTTTGAACTTTTGTTTCTACCAATGTCTTCCTTGTCTCTCTTTATTCATTTCTTGCGCGATAAACTCCTTTAATTTTTCATTTTTTATTAGATTTTCAATCAAACTACTCAGATGTTGGCATTCCTCAATACCATGGTCATGATCTCAATGATAGACAACACTTTTTAGGGTCAAACAAATGACTATCTACTTTCATTGATGATGGTTTTTGAAGAACTCTTCGTATCAGCTATCTCAATCGTAGAGCCCTCAATGGAGTCACAACTAGCATTAAGTGATTTGAAAGTAGCAACTTACTTTCTTCCCTGCCACATCGGATTTTTCTCGAATCTAATCAGCCACAAATGAACAAACCTAATTTTTCACAAAATTTTTGTATATTCCCTTCTTATCAGGGTGACTTATGTTCTCCAAGCTAAAATTATGTTCTCCATTTTTCACTCTAGATGAACTCAAAAATGAGTTGTACTCATCAAATAAATGATTATTGATTAATCCTAATAATTCAACTAAGGTTCTTGCGTTGGAACCCAAGAGCATATTAGAATTGATCTTCTCACAGACCCCGAGCTAATGCAACATGAGTGACTATTGGCTCTAGATCTCTGACATTCAACATTTCTTGTTGAAATCTGGTAACAAAACTTCTCAAACTTGCTCTTTGTTCCTAGCAAATTCTTAGGAAAGTCGGAGAATTGTGTTACAACTTCTAAACACAAGTCACACAATGAAAATGCACTTAATTTCCCACAAGAAATAATAACTCTAATTGATAAATTGTTGAACCAACTGAGATTTGACTGCTTTAAAGTCATGAAGAATAGTCAACACTTTAGTGCGTCGTTGATTTTCAACAAATAAACAACTAACACAAATGATGTCAAATGACCAACAAACTTCGATCTCCCTCTATAAGATTCTAAAGACGAAATCTTAAACCTCTATGGCTCCTCTGCCTCTACGATTTTTCTAGAAAAAGTATTCATTAATGGTTTCTTCATTTTCATTATTCCCTTCTCTTCCTCTAATGATCAGAAAGAGAGGAAACTTCACTATATGTAAAATAATTTCATTAACTTCACTTGCCATAAATGGTAGAGTTCTCCTTACTCTTGACGCTAGTATTACACCTCTCCGAACCAATGATTCAGTGGAACCATATGACATTTGAACTCTAGATGTAATTCAAAGTACATGCTCCGATGCTTCACAAATCATATGTGTCATCTATTCTTTTAGTTTGTTCATTTATTATATAAAAAACTCCCAAGTACATTACATATTAATTGAATCTTCTCGAATATGAGGTTCTTCCCAGTGAAAACTCCTCTTTTAATTTGTGGTATGATCTACGCTCACCACACATTGAAGGATGTTAAATCCCAAATTGCTTGTGGTCTCACATCGCCTAGGTAGAACTTGTAAAAGAAGAAGAGTAGAAAAGATGATTAACGAAATATGGAGATGAAACAAAAAAAACTCTATTTCTCCTCACTTTTATGTCCATCTCGTGGATAAACTACTATATTTATAAGTTTTGTTTGGCTACACTCAGAGACGATTATATAGACGGCTACGCAAAAGTAAGTAGATAACTCGAGATAATAGAAACTTATGTGAGTTTGTTTAGTTTATCATATACGATAACACTTTTAAGCTGCTGATGAAGCTGATGAAATTACTTAATTTTGTTGAATTAGCTTGCTATATGAATTTGTTGAATGAGACGATATGAATTGCTTAACAAACAGACCGAGCCAAGCTTTAATACTCTTTTAAATTGAATCAACTGATCTATTTGAATGATTATGTGGTATCCACTGAATTAATTTTGCAAATTGTCTAGATTCAGTGTCGGCTTGTGCTATCTGAGAATATACTTGGAATATTCTAACAGGCAACATGCTTTGGGTGATTTAATACTTAGAGTTTGAACTTTGAGCTTCAATTGTTATGCACTATCATAATTTTTATTAAGCTTTCAGTGACAAGCGTATGAAGTAAATTACAATATTATCCCCCCTTAGAGTAAAAAGAATAAGAAAACTTGTAATTTTTTTATGAATCTATGTAATAATTTTTTTTGCATTATTATTCTATTTTTACTTAACATCGTCATTTAAAAAGGAAATACCACTCACCACTTTTTGCCTAAGCCAGCCAATAAGTAATTTTTTGGCAACATATTCCTTAGTAAGCATGCAAAATAAATATTCAATTTGTTAAGTGCATAATCCTACTCAAATTTTCCAATGTTGTTATCTAAGAACTATTACACCCAAATAAACTACTGCATTCAAAAATAAATAGAGAACAATACGTGCTGAATACATAATTCTTAGATATTTATATATTTAACAACCAAATTTTCAAATACATATACATAATACTCAAATATTTGACATCCACTATCAAATTTTAGGTATCAGATATGTAAATACATAAGAAATGTGTGGTGCACAAGTAAATTTCCCAAATATACAAGTTAAAACCAATTGCATTTAGGTTGAATGTACATGTGCCATTTGAAACATATCTAAACAGTGGACTATGAAACATATTCTAAGAAATTCAAATCATCTAAAAGGGGCCAGGCTGAGCCTCTGATTAACCAAACTTTATTATAATATCTATATTCAAATCCTTAACCACCAACCAATTAGTTGATTGGTTGTCTTTTATCTCTAAAGTGGGAGAAAAGATTGCGTGCAGGTAAGATCGGTGCGAATTGGTGGTATTCAGGAACAATGCCACCATAATACCACCTGAATACCACCAATCCGCACATAAGCTATATGTACAAATATTTCCTCCTAAAGTGGTGGAGGTCCAAGGTTAATTCCTGGACAGACATATAATCAATTTCTTGAATTCGTTCCAAAAGAGAGGATTTTATGCATTTAATCCACCCCATTTAGGAAGTATATGGATGGTAAGGATTCTCTAATAACATTGGATTCTTAGAGCCGCAAGGATTAAGCTCTATGTCAGCTTAGAAGGTCTGCAAGGTTACCGCAAGTAGCCGATTCGAGATAGTATTTAGAACAAAAAAAAATCTATAAATCTGATTCAAGATAGTTACCATCAAAAGATCCAAGTTGAGGTAGCACATCCTGCCATTTCCCAAATACAATCTTCACATTCTCCTTCTCCCCCCAGCCAGACTGTATCATCCGATCATAAACCTCAGGATGCGCCTCCACAATAGTGTGCTCCAGTGGTTTGTACCTCTGTATAGCCTCGTCCACTAGCCCCATCCCAAAGCCCACATTGAGTATCTTCCCACCAACATCGCCGAAGCAGCAGATCGCCCTAGCGTGAGCCTCCATCAGCGGCTTCTCCCACGCCATCATGACCGCCTTGCTCTCGGCATCCACGATTCTGTCCTCTCCAAAAGAAACCCTCTCGCTCAAATACACCTCCTGCGAGGCGGCGCCTTCCCCATCACCGCCGCCTCGAGCGATGGTTCCGAGAACTAGTTCAGCCTGGATGGCGAAGTTCAGGAGGACATCAAAGGCCTCCTGATGGGCGTTCTCCATAGCTAGATCACCAGCGGATACGTTGGAGGGGGAAAGAGCGTTCCAGGGAGCACCGGCGTCGAGAAGGCAGCGGACGACTTCCCCATGGCCGACCGCAGCGGCGTGCATTAGAGGAGTCTTGCCTTCAGAGTCGAAGAAGGAAGGATCGGCGCCTCTCAATAGGAGGTCTCGGACCATCGCGCTGTTGCCGGCCATGGCGGCGGCGCAGAGCAGCTCGTCGAGCGTCTTCTCCATTTCCCGACCCTGCTCGGGCAGAGCTACGGCTCGTTGTTCGCGAATAGTACGTGTTCACTTGTTATATACATATATATATGTATATATATATATATATATA